GGCCTGGCGGCCGGGGCTGTGCGGCGCGGGGGCGGCACCGGGGCGGGCATCGTCCCCAGCGCGCCGGGTATTGTCCGGGCGCGGCCGGGTGGGCTCGTGTGCGCGCCGCCTGTGCGCGCTCCCTGCACCCCGCGCGCCCGCGCGCGCCTCCTGCTGGCCGCAGACTCCCCGCACCGCTCAGCTGCACCCCAGAGGGTCGTGGAGATCCCAGACCCAGTCACCTTGAGTTCTCTATGGGATAAAAAGAGTCCAGATACAGCTCAGGGCCCCAAGTGAGAGACCCCCGAACCGCGGGAGAGCCACTGCAGCAGATCTCGAGGGGCTCAGCTCCCGCAGGAGGCCCAGCCTGGGCTAATTGGCTGGATATGGTCTATTGAACTCAGGAGTTTAGTCAGCTCTGATGCTGCCAGACTGAGCAAAGGGGCATTGGGTCAATTTAGACTTTGTTCCCAGGGCACTGGAGAGCCACAGTAAAAAAGACACAGGGCCTGTCTCCCCCAGAGAGTGCACCATGTGACTTCCCGTGTTTCTGCCTGGACTGCAGCCCCTTGGCCCTAGGCACTCACTGGGCCTTGGGGCGGAGCAGGGAGAATGAGTCATAAAACTCTGCAATAGAGTAGTTATCCTTTGGTTTGGTTTTGTAGACTATGTGTTCACCTAGTGTGCATGTGGAGGTCCCAGGACATCCTCCGCTGCCTTCCTCCGAAGCCATCCACCTTTCTTACGTTTTTTTTGTTTTTATTTTTGTTTTTTTTTGAAACTATGTAGACTTCTACGTTGACTAGGCTGGCCTGAAACTCAGAAATACACGCTGCCTCAGCCAGGCCTGCACCGCCTCACCTATTTTCCCTGGGTTTGGATCTGAGCTCACCTATGTAGGAGTGTGTGATTCTGTATCTGTTTCTCGGCCTTTCCACCTATCTGCCCATCCCACCTCCTCAGACTGCTGGAGGGCTAACGGTGTCATTTCACCTGGACTCACTGAGGGTCAGGTGAGCTTTACAGATAAAAGGCCAGATAGTGAACTTTGTCAGCACTGTTGGCCAGGTGGTTTGTGTTGCAAGGACAGTACACTTATGAACACCGAAGGAGCTGAAGGAGATATGCGGAAGTGGTTGTGTGTCAATAATACTTTACTGATAGCTGGCTGGTATCTTTGCTGTTCCTGGACCGCCATCTTTTCAATCTAGAGAGAATTGCTGAGTTTCTTATTGTATGCACTGGGGACTCAGGACGCTGTCTTTAGAGAGACAGTGTTTTTTGTCTGTAAACAAGTGAGTTAAGATCTGAAGCGCTTTCTGTGCAAGCATGTGGGTCTGAGCTGAATCCTTGCCCACATGGTGGCATGCACCTGTAACTCAACACACAGGAAGTGGAGGTGAGAGAACTCTAGGGCTCCCTGGCCATTTATCCAAATTGGCGAGTTTGAGGCCAGGGAGAGATCCTGCCCTGGAAAGTCAGGTCGATGGTAAGGAAGGCCAGCTGAGGCTGCTCTCCCACCCCACACTCATGTGCTCATACCTGCACATAGAAACATGCATACCTGCAACGTAAAATATTTAAAAAGTAAGGAATGGCTGGGCGGTGGTGGCACACGCCTTGAATCCCAGCACTTGGGAGGCAGAGACAGGCGGATTTCTGAGTTCGAGGCCAACCTGGTCTACAGAGTGAGTTCCAGGACAGCCAGGGCTACCTACACAGAGAAACCCTGTCTCAAGAAACAAAAAAAAAAAAAAAAAAGTAAGGAATGCTGGGCATGGTGACACATGCTGCTTCTCCATGACCGAAGGGAGGGAGATTACCACAAGGGCCAGACCCGCCTGGGCTACAGAGTGAGACCAATATGTGTGTGTGTGTGTGTGTGTGTGTGTGTATTTATTTGTATTTTTAAAGTTAAAACAAAACCCCGAAGTGAGCCTATGTGGCTACAAGAATGTGTCACCTCAGCATCCAGGAAGTGGAAGATCAAGATTCAAGGTTAGCCTTGGCTACATAGTGAGTTTGAGGGCAACCTGGCTGCATGAGTCCTTGTCTAAGGAAAGAGAGCCTCTTCCAGGAGAGCCGGAAGAAAAGGAGAAGCATGTCCAAGCCTCGCACACCATTCCTCCATCATTGTCAAAGCCCCTGACCCCCCTCACTGGGTCTCTATATACGGGTAGTGTTTCAAAAACACAAAAATCAGCCGATTACTAAACTAATTAACATCTCACAGGGTTCCCAGATGCCCCAGAAGGAAGATGGAAGACCTTCCTGGGTTTCTCAAGCCAGTCCAGGGTCCTGACGGCTGCTGGGAGCTTGGCGGTTGGCAGTTGAGATGAGCATAAGATGGTTTCACAACTGTTGGCCAAAGCGGAAGGAAACAGAAGCAACCAGACTCCCAAGTCTGCAGCCGGAACTTTGCCCTCACTTGCTGTGCGATTTTTTTTTCCCCCAAGACATGGTCTTTCTGTGTAACCCTGTCTGTCCTGGAACTCATGCTGTAGACCTGGTTGGCCTTGAACTCACAGAGATCTGCCTGCTTCTGCCTCGGCACTGGGACTAAAGGTGTGTGCCCCCACGCCAACCCTGCTATACACACCATTCTATGTCATTGTCCTTGCCTCTGACTTCCCTTTACTCTGTCTCTTTATACAGCTGTTATCTCTGTTATCTCTCTCTCTCTTTCTCTCTCTCTCTCTCATTTATTTTGCTATTTTCTGAGTGTTTTCCTGTGCCTATGTAGCATATGCATGCAGTACCCACAGAAGCTAGAAGTGGGCGACAGACCCACTGCAACTGGAGTTACAAGCTATGGTGAAGCACTATTAACCAAACCCTGGTCCCTTGGAAGAGCAGCCAGAGCTCTTAACTGCTGAGCCCTCTCCCCAGACCGTCTTTCTGTTTTGTTGTTGTTGTTTCGTTTTTTGTTTAGGGAGACTTTTTTGGCAAGGACTCACTCTGTAAAGCAGGCTGGCCTTAAACTCAGAGACCCATCTGCCAGTGTCTCCAGAGAGCTGGGATTAAAGGTGTGCGTCACCGTCAGGCTTGGCTTTCGTTTTGTCTTTGTCTCTGTCTCCCTGTCTCTCTGTCTTCTCCTCCATCTCTGTCTCGTTCCACCTAAATCTGTTTGAGTTACTCTCTTTTTTTCTCTGTCCCTGTCTCTGTCTCTCTATCTCTCTGTGTGTCTCTGTCTCTGTTGCTGTCTGTCTCTGTCTCTGTCTGTCTCTGTCTCTCTCTGTCTCTGTCCCTCTCCCTCTGTTTCTCTGTCTCTGTCTCTCTGCCTCCATCTCAATCTCCCTCTGTCTGTGTCTCTCTCTGTCTCTCTGTCTCTGTTGCTGTCTCTGTCTGTCTGTGTCTCTCTCTGTCTCTCACTGTCTCTCTGTCCTATCTACGTCTGTCTCTCTGTCTCTGTCTGTCTGTGTCTCTGGCTATCTGTCTCT